AAGACTTAAATCTCTTGCCCCCGACCCTTCTAGCCGGTTTCTTCTACTAGCTCCTATTATACGCTGCAGTGAATCTCCGCACTGACCTTCTCTCGCTATTAGCCACGTATAAATGCGTCGGTTTCAGTACTTCAGTGCACACTCGTTAATCAATCCTTTACCGCATTACTAAATATAAATCCCTTCAAAGCTGCTCAGTGTATTTGCTAGTTTTTAAACTAAAACTCACAAAAACAAAAAAAATCACATTTTCCTAGAAAAACTAAATAAACAAAATAAATTAAATTATTTTTACAAGAAAGTCCCTTATAACGATATTTTTACTTTTTGTTTGGAAACGTTAAGGTCAGTACATGTATTTCTTACCTAGACGAAAAACTTTTTGAATTATTGTTAGTGTTGTAAGAATTTACAACACATGGAAACTATCCACCCCCATGGTATAAAACTAATGGTTTTTAACCATCATATTTTTCAAAACTACCTAAGGTTAATTTTAGATATTATTTCTATCAAGTTACAAACGCGTATAGGACAAAAAGTTTATTCTAATATGACGACCCCAACGTGATCAAACATTTGTTTTAAATTTCCTCAGTAATTGAAGAGATAATAGCGAAAAGTAATGTGATAGTAACGTATTCTACTGACTACTAAAAGTTTATCACAATAAACACCACTTTTACTTGATTAGAATAAATACTTGATAATTTTTTTTATGAATTGGCGTTTAATATTCTTGAATATCGTAAAATGGAAATTCTTGTTTTTATTTGACGATTGAATATTTTAACTTATCAATGCAAGTTTTATTATATTTGCAAGTGATGAAATATGAAATTCATTAACAGGAAAATGCTGTCTAACTATAAGTACCACTTCTCTCTTATTTGGGTTTAGAAACGATAAACAATGTGTTTCCTGTTTGTATTGTTTATTTCATATCTATTTTTGTATGCCAAACATTACGATGTCGTGTTTCTTAAGTGGGATGTCGTATGAAACATAAAGAAAAGTACAAGTATAACATTTTATAAATCAAAAAACAATAGGTTTCCCCATACAGATGAAATGGAGGCGGCGGTAGAAAACTTTTCCGGTTATCTCATTTTCGACCCTTTTTCTCTTAACTAAAAGAGACGGTGTACTTCCTCTCGCTTACCCTTCTAACCAACAGAGTCATACGCAGAAGGGAACGAATTCAAATGGGTGCAAGAGTTTCCAAAAAGTCAACTCGGTAGGCAATATAAGAAACACACTGGAACATAGGGAAATAAATCTGTGGCCAGGCGACGGGAACCGGACCTTCCGTTTCCGGCGTGCAACCGAAACTCGTATTGCTGAAGAACAGCGACGGGAGTGGCCAAAGGGATTTAAAAAAGAATAAAAGTTTTTAACGAAACAACTTTTATCTAGACACGAGTGCGCTTTACGACTTTTATATTATGTGTTCTTGCGAATAGGAAAACAGACCAGTAACGTCCCCCGAGTACTATGTCTTCCAGCTATTTCTGATCTCGTCCGAGTCGAATGAATTTTGGGATTACATCTGAACTACCGAACCGAGTTGTACCTTGATTATTGTTAAATACTTTGAAAATTTAAAAAAAAACTCGTAATTTATGCGGCATTGCTTCTAAAACAAAATTAATGCAATTTTTATTTGGAAGCAGCTAATAATGAATATTCTATGTGGTTAAATTTATGTATACATTCAAGCTTAACTGACACTGATAAGTAAAAGCCTTTAAATACTGGAATTTTTCTTTCTGTTTTTACGTGGATTAGTTGGGATGATAGACTAAATAAATTATGCTGAAGTATTACAGCTGTTAAAGTAACAAAAAACAACAACAAGAATAATAAAAACAATAATAATAATAATAATAATAATAGATAGTATTATCATTGTGTAATTCACGCGAAATGCTGTTTGGGGATTACGCGGCCAAGACAACGATGGTTAGTTTTCTTTCCGTTGTTGTAATCTCGAAGAAAGACGAAGGATTAAGACAAAAGACTACGAAAAAACGCAATAGTATAAACTGGGAATATAAAAAAGTCGACGCGTTTGTTCTGAAATTGCCGTTAATATTATCTTAAACGCCACTAAAATTCGTAAGTCAAGACATTATATATATATAAAAAAAAAGCACACAAAAATATCGCATTTCCCCTGGCCATCTTTATCGCTTACTTTTTATACAAGTTACAGTAATACTACATCCACGCAGTTTAGTTCACATAAAAATACGTATAAGAGGTTATGAATAATTTGCAAAACCAATGTAATATTTGTAAATGCATAATAAAATGAGTAATTGATTATAAGAAACGTCAGGAATCGTAAAAAATTCAATATAACATTTACAAATAGTAACAAATTAGTGCACCCACAACAACGAGACTACGGGAGACTTACTTTAATCGTTTTAACTTTTAAAAATATAAACAGGATACGATGTCAGCGAAAAAACTATTACTGTTTACGTTTTATTTCAAAGAGCATGCGATACAATGGGAAAAAAGGAATTGAAAATATTTATTTCTGTTTTACTCTTTCAAACATTCCATTCGTTTTCGTAACCATCACATAAAATCAGCGTTCAACAATCACACGGCTTTACTGTACACAGTATTAAACCGATTTCAATCAAGTTTTTATATTTAACGTTTGCATTATACTGGGATGAAATAATTTAGCTATTCAGGCGAGAAACCAGATGTCAAACATTTTGGATGATGTTTAAGTCATCGAATATAAAAAAAAAAAAAATACTAAAGTAAAAAATAAATTGAAAAATCTTTTCATCGTTTTTGTGTGGTAAATTGTAACTGCTGAATAATTTTTGCGATTAAAAACTAAATTTATGCTGTAAAGATTTGGAAAAGGAACCCACCACTCATTATGACAATGAGCAAATAACTTTTGGAAATAAAAAATAAATAAGAAAATAATAATTTTGACATTTTTTTCTTCAATTAAAGAGATTAATATAAAATATTTTATTTATTATTATTTAATTTATACGGTTTTTAATTAATCTTAGAAACTTACTATTTATTTAATTAATTTCATATTGGTAAAAGCTAAAACTAAATAAAAGCAAGGCGAGTTTTAAATTTTTTTAAATCGATTATAACCGTTTTACGGCATATATTTTGTCTGTTGTGAAAATATCATGTAATGAAAAATAACTAAACATATTTATAATGGAAAAAACAGGAAATTTATTGAACGATGTGTTTTTGTTGAAACTTAATAATATTGTATGAACATATAAATATTTACACAGAGTAATTCTTTTAACGTTGCTCCGCTCGATATACCTTAAAATTGATGAAAATTATTTTCGGTATTTATTAATTTTAGATATATCTTTTGTATATAAGTTATAAATTACTTTTTTTAATTTTTTTTTTGTTTATCTAAAAATGACCAACATAATAATTAATAAATATAGTTTAATCACAAACCCCTCTTCTTTTTCATGTATAAAAATATCAATAATTTTTAAAGAATATGTTCAAAAGTTGTAATCGACTAGTAAATTTCTTTGTTAGATGATCATTTTTTATTTAAAGGCTAGTTAAATATGTATGTTGTTATTAAAGAAAACAATGTCGAAACCTTATAATGTATAAGGTATGAATTAAAAAATTACTTATTTACTGATAAATCAAGAAATATATTAGACTAAGAAAATTATTGAATACTTTAAATTGGAAATTAAGATGCATTAGAAAATATTTCCATACGTAAATTTGAAATTATATACAATTCAATTTTGAGAAGAACTCGGAGCAGAGTTTTTTAATCTGATTATTTTTAATTTTAAATTAACTTAAAATAATTATTATGTAACCCGATATAGTTTTAATGTAAAATATAGGTACTATTATTTCTACGATTTGTATCTAAAGAAACCTATTCAAAAAACGAAACTGTTGTCTGAATTTGTATATCTAAAATCAGAGACTTATCAAGATAATCACATTTTTTTTGAAAATTGTTTGAGAACTCGTATAATTTTTATCTATAATAGTTTTGATTGCTATTATCAAATTTCTCTACGACTAAATATGCATTTTTAAAATGCTAATAGGCCATTTAGCCTTTGATGACCTTTTGTGTTGACATTTTTATAGTTTTTCTTTAGTCAACCTTACCGAAAATATGGGTAAATAATATTTTTTTCGTATTATCTCTTTACCCCATCGTTTTTAAAAATAACTCGACATTAATATTACAACCATTTTTAAAGGGTTTCAACTAAACTGTTGTAACTTATTTTATTTTCTAAAGCTTGTTTTAACGTCTGCTAAGTAATGTTATAAATTTATAAGTAATAAATTGTTTATGGATCACTAAATTTAAAACGATTTTGAGATTTTAAGAACACTACGATAGCTTAAAACTTTGTATTGAAACTCGTATAGTTAAATTTATTGAGTTTATTGTATTTGATGTGCAGTGAGTATCATATTTAACTAACTCGTACGAGAAAACCAGTGACCCCAAGATGGCATCATCTCCATACTTGCCCAATAAATGGATATAATACAAAAGAATAACAAATGTTTCCCTTTTTGATAGATATTGTTACAATAGTAGTTTCTTCTGTACCCTTTGCACAGACCAGCAATAATGTTCAGTTTCCTGTGGGGACGTTACGTACCGTTAAACAAATATGCTAGACATTAGTTGTTTAATGTTTGGTAAACCAATCACAATAAATTGTGGTGATTCGCAAGAAACAGATTTCAATATATATATATATAGTCGTTATATATTGCAATAGTCATGGTGGAAAATTGTTTGATTTCGATAATAGTCGAAATACTTGTTGGAGTTCGTCAATAACTGTGAATAATACAATTGTAGAGGATATGTCCGAGGAAAATGAGTGTGCGCTAGAGTTGTAGACACGGCAGTAGGATCATGTTAAGGGGGGTGAAAAATAGTAACGAAACTAGTAAGAATGACAAATGAAACTTACATTGCCCCGACGTATAATGTGTCACGATTTTCGTCCAAGTGAAAAGTCCTGTAGTACATTCGTCCGCAAGACAATTCTCGCACGTGATCTGTAACAGACAAACAAACCATCTGTAAATTTATGCTCACATTCAGTAACACTAAAGTAAATTATATGTTAGAAAGTGGAGAGCATGTAGTCCATAGCACTCGGACTGAATAAAATATGCGTTGACATTATTAGTATTTTATACATTTTAAATTCAATCGGCGAACCGATTAATCTTTGTCTTTGGATTCATTGGACCGTACCCTCGATAATTATTATTAATAAATTCAACAGCTAAAAAAAAAAAAACTAAAATTCGTGTGATGTTTAAAATGTTGTAACGTTCCTTCTTCATAACCACAGTGTTACGAGAGATTAGAACATTTTCTTTGTCCGGAAAATCGTGTGTAGCTTTTATATAACGAGGTCACACTTTCAATTATTAAGGGTAACGACTAGACGCTTTTTTACGTTTCCTTTGCACACTCAACCCGTTCATAAAACGCTGACAAAAGCAAAGTACAAAAAGGCTGAGCACTATGGAAAAAAAAAAGTTGTTTTTTTAAACGAAGCGGTGACCCCATCCAAAGTTTAAAATTCAGTATACACCTAGCGGGGTCATTAGTTTGAAATAACGCGACTGCAAAAAGTCGTTCTTCTATATAAGAGCGTTTACCCGGAGAAAAAACCGCGGTAGTGTTTCCAGTGCACTTTGCAGGGTTGGGCGGATTGGTTTCCACAATTAATTTATGATTGAGGAGTATACCGTTTCGTGTGTGTTTTGGCCCCCACGTCGTGTAAATTAGTGAACGCGTCTGAATATATTACCGAGTATGGCACCGAGAAGCAAAAATATTTCTTAGAGATCCCCAGGGTGTAGTAACGCCTTCAATTATTATGTGTGTGCAACTGGCAGCGAGAGCTCTTTCAAGTTGGCGGAAGCACACCCCCAAAACTTCTTATGCTTATGTCGCCGAAAAACTACATTTATTGATACTTATGAGAAAAGGCTAAGCAAAAAAAACGACGTACGAATACCCACACAAAATATAAACAATAACCATTTATCATATCACGCACCTCGTTATTTGCTGCATTACTACAGCGATAGTAGTAGTGTCTTATTGCCCCAGCCCCGTCCTTCTCTCATTGCTCTTTACATCGCTATTTGTAGCAAGTTCCAATATTTTGTTTGTTATACATTTTCACAACAGTTGTACAAATGATAATAATAAAAAAAATATTACTCTGGAGTATTTAACTGTTTATTTATTACTAAACTTTTTATGACTCATTAATTACTTGGTTATTAAAATATCGTTAGACAAAACTCTACCATCTCTCGGTAAACTATTCATGCCCAATTACGACAGTTCCAGTCTTTTAAATTACAATAATCGTTTTAATTTAAAATCCGATTTTCCATATAAATTATGAACATAAGTCAGGCAACAATGATATTAAGTCAACCTAATTTACTGAAAGTATTTATAGCATTCGTCATAAATATAATATTTAAATTTGTTTTGATCACCCGACTCGCCGCACAAAACTTCCACGAAAAAACAAATCTTTTTTGAAAATCATGTACATAATTACAGAACTAATGTAATAATGTTATTTAAGGATTGCGTAACGAAAATTTTACATAACTATATAAATAAATATTTATAGTTTATAATTTATTAGTAAGTTAACGACAAGAAGATAAATAATTATTTTTCTCATTCTCAAAAACAAAATAATAATTATTTAATTAATAAACATAATTATCTTTATATACGTATAAATATTAGTAATTAATATCATTGATATAATATCAATAAAAATAATCATGTTATATATAATATTATATCAATAATAGACGCCCTTTATGAAAAATTTATTAGATTGATTTGCCTAGAGATACCTCTAACATGTGTAATATTTGATGAAACTAAAAATGGCGTTATATGCATTGTTAATATTAGTTTCGTGAGATTCATCATGCAAACGTCAACGACTTTAAAAATTCATTTTTTACAAAAACGCAAAAGGTTTGTTAATGAAACTTACTTTCTAATTTATGAGTTATACAGGATAATCCACAATTTTTTTTACAAATCTAATAACTTTTGATCGAGCTAATATTTTACGTTAGTTTTTTTTTTTTAACGTTTTTTACAAAGCCATGAGCAAATCGTAAAAGCTAAATGTTGTTTTTAGAAATTTTTCAAATTAAATTTGAAAGGAATTTGTGAAGTGCAGGCAGAATGCATGTACATCTATATGAGATGTACCTATCACCCGATGTATTAAAATGATTGTAACTCAATAAGTACTTATCTTAAAGTTATTATCGTTCCGTGAAATTTTTTTATAAGTAAAGGGCTAAAAAATAACTATTTTATATTAAAATTATTAGATATTTATATAATTTAAAAAAATATACTTTTGAAAAAGTCTATAACAGTAAAAAATATTTAAAAAAAATAGAAACTCAAAATTTTCACTGGATCAAAAGTTATTAGATTTATCAAAACATCGTGGACCCTCCTTTATACATTTGAAATATAAATAAATTGTCAGAAAAAAGTTTGTTCTATAAATTCCACAACAAAAGTGTATATTTACGTTTTTTAAGTTAAATATTTTGTACAACACATAAATAATAAATGTAAAATACATACATAGATATAATCAATGTTGTTTATCCTTTATAATATTATAAATATATTGAGTTGGTGTTAACATAAAAAATATTTCAATTGAAAAATACAATAATCTAACGTGATATAAACTTATAGTACCAAATATTAAATGTTTCATTGTTTTTTTACTTATATCATTATTTTTAGTTTGAATTTATAAATAAATAATAATTATAGTACAAATTATTATTATTTTAACATAGCTTATAAGAATTGTACATATTATTTATGTAATTGTTTATTCAAAAAGAAAATTATCACTCTATTGAATATAATCGAAGAAAAATGAGAGATTAAATATATAATGTTTTTCTATTATTTGTGTGCCTAAAAAAGTATATCTTACTTTTCTCTTATGGTTGACTATGTTTTAAGATATACCGGCACCTTACAAAGTCACATATTGTGTTGTATTTACTAGTTTCTGGGTGCATAACAGTATATAAATAAACATGAGGTAATATCAAAGGCTCAAAGTAGATTCAAAACACGAGAAGGTAAAAATATTACATTTATTAGTTATGATTTTAAGCTTTTCCGATGAACTCGTTTTTACACGATTATGTCTTGACGCGTACAGTCATTGAATTGAATACAAATTGTACAGGATTTTGATGTTAAAAAGAAAAATCTAAACAACACCTGAACAATCACGTGGTTGAAGTATAACAGCACCTATTTACAGCATGTAAGACACATTTTCATGTATAAATAATCTCGTGATTACGTGTCGTGTATTGAATAATGAAACTTCCGATAGAGCAGAATAGGAGTACATTTTTGTCGGTTCTGAATCGGAATTGCGTCAAAGGCAAAGGGAGATAAAAGAAAATAAAAAAGCTGAAACGAATAAAAGTTTTCTTCCCATGTAAAACGTGACTTATGACTGGGGATAATTTAAAAACCGACAGAATGTGTTTCTTCGCCAAAGCGAGACTATAATACCGTATACGTGTTTCTGATGTGCCGACGAAACGATCCCACCGAACTCAGCCTCCATGTTACTCTGTTATTTTATTAACGTCAAATGCTATTTAGGAAGACCCTGTAATAATGGTTACTATCTAAATCGAATTGCTCAGCAACGGTATGTTGAAATATCGTGTCAGGTATAGAGAGTACGTTGATATCTAATTGAAAAGGACTTAACCATGTTAAATACCGTGACGCTATTACTATAATTTGTAAAGTTATTTCCACCCTCTTGACAGTAGCAACGAGTTGAGGTGAACTGTTAAAAGGAATTATAATACCAGTGTGTTAGGAGCACAGTTTTGAACCTACACACTTCGACTAAGTTGACAGGTTTCATTAAAATCTAGACTTGTTAACCGAGTCCTTATTAACTAAAAAAAATGTTTTCGAAAAATTTTACCGACAAATAAAATGGGTTCGTCGATTTTATTGTTCACTGAACTAACGTGCACGTGAAATTGGTCAAGATTTAAAATTCATTAGATACTTATAAAAAAATAACGCGTTTTAGTGACTTACTACGCTATTGTTGGTTGAAAGTTCAGTAAACGTTCAATAAATTAATTTTACACTAAAATATTTCATGATCAAATACTTAAAAATTCATTAGACAAGTTAAAGTAGAACTAATTAGATAAATAACGTTCTTCCAAATTTAATTAGGAAAAGAATTCCCAAGGTAAAATTTAGCTTTATTAGTTTGCTCATGCCTTTGTAAAATCTTTTTCAAGTGTCGGCCGAAATTTTTCCTACGCTTATGAAAAACGACAAACTTGAATCCGTTCTTTTTATTTTGCACATGCATTTGTATGTATGAAACTAAACTCTATCGAAACGTTACTAAGATAAAGTATGGCTTTTTAAAGTCGAGTAATTGCGGACAAAGAAAATGAAAACTTATGGTTAAACCTACCAAGAAACTGATAAAGATAAATACATGGGATGTATACAGGTACACGATTGGTTTCTAACGAGTCTATTGAGTGTTTTCTAGCTAAAAGTTGAGAAAGAGCCGATAATTATGTTTGTTTATTGAAGGAACGTTGGTAAGCTATAAATCTTAGTTTACGACTCCAAAAAGCAGTCGTTTTCATCTGCTTTTGCTACTTACATTACAGTGTAAGAATAACCAATGATTTTACAAAACTTACAATCAATAACACACTCACAGTCAGCTCTTCCATAATAGTTATTTATAATTTGTCCATAAGGTATTTCGGGATAGCAATAAACAGTAAAGGATGGTTGAAAAATGACAAGTGATTAAATTGAACATATTTTAACATTCAAATGCATAATGATATACAACTGAAAACGTGTTATTCAATATCAATGATATCTGACCAAGTAATGAAGACGATAGTATAATTCGATAGGCACATATCAAGTAAATTAT